ATGGACACCCCTAAAAATGAATAGAGAGTGCTCTTTGTAGAGAAATCGGAATTATTCTCTTTGGATATTAAATATTCTTCTTGATGCTTAGAAAGATTCTTGTAACATAATATATTCACATATAAGGCACATAGTAATATATTCTGGCCAAAAAATCAGGCACATAGTAATATAATCTTTTAAATATGATAACAAAATTAAACAAGTGGAATTTCATTTTTTGTTTTTGAAAAAAAAGGGATCAATTAAAGGTTTGAATCCTGGACCTCAAGCTGGCAGGGAGGCGGTATTGCCGTTCAGATAACTTGCCGTTGGCGGAAGCTCAGCATATATATATATATATATGGAGTTATTATTGTGAGTTTGAACTTTTTACGTATGAGATATTATACGACAGGTAAAAGTCAACAAAAGAAGAGTAATTGATTGGATGGCATGAATGATGAATTCTAGAAGAACCAGGACATCAGATTCACCTTATAAGGAACCCCATTATTGTCATCCTCCAAAAGACACTGCACTTCCATCCTTTCTGTATATTTTCTTTTTTTAAAATATCTATATCTATAATATCTCTTTCATGTTATTATTATGTAACATATCTATCCAATTCACTGAAATTAAAAAAAAATGATTAAGTTATTAATATTTTTAAGAAAATAATAAACTTTTAATTTTACTTACATTTAAATAAATAAATTTTAAATTTGTATAACATTATCTCTTATAGTTGATGGACTTATTTAAATGAAAAACCTTTAAATTTATATTGTATTTTTTTGACATTTATTGTGTTTAAATAGTAGTTATATTGAAAAAAATATAATTAATACCCTCACCAAATACCTTATATTGCAAACCATCAATATCTTCTAAAATGAGCACTGAAAGGAGTATGATATAATATATATTAATTCTTAGTTGGCCCAATTAAGAATAGTTTTTTTCCAAAAACGTTTTTTTTTTTTACATTTACACATACTTAAATTAACATTATCTCTTGTTCTGAAAGAAGTCAAAACCCCCAACTAGATCCAATATCTTGGTTATATCAACTCTTATTATTTATAGATATATCATCACACTTATTTTTAACATATAACAAGGTCACAAGCCTTACTAATGAATTAAATTATAAGTTTCACTTATTTACCACTTTTTGAACCGTATAGATTGAAAATGGCCAATTAAGAAAAATAATTTAAAAAAATAAATCGTTTCACTTTTTTACATGTTACTAGTGTGAATCACATGCATTATTTTTTTGATAGGGAGAAAATTTATATTATATATAGATTCTTAATAAATAAAGATATAGATATATGATATACGACCTAAAAATAAAATAAAAAATTAAAATATATAATGCAGTAAAGTAAAAATGAAAATATATACATTCAATACTTGATGTCTTTTTTATATTTATTTTTTAAAAAAATTATTTTAAAATTTCACTCAACACAATTAATTGTTTTCAGGCCCAGTGACAATTAAACTTAAAATAATAAAAACACTTTGAGGTTCTACTCAATATAATTAATTATTTTCGGATTTATTAATAAATAAATTTAAAAAATAACAATATATTTAATTAATTGTATTGAGTATAATTTATTTGTAATTATTTTTTATTTTTACTCAGACAAAAAGAGGCTTGACAAAAGTAACGCCAGAAGAGAAGGGAGAGTGCAAATGCCGAGTGATGTCCTTGAGTTCACGGGCGTGGCAGATCGACTAGTACCGGGACCACACATTATCATTTTCGAAATTCAAGTGGGCCCAGTCTTTTATTCTTGTTTTATTCTTTTGTAATAAAACACATTAAAATATCAATATAAATGTTAATATCAATATCAATCTACCTGTTACAAATATATTACTCTCTCCATTTAAAAATATAAAATATTTTTAATTAAATTTTATCTCTCAATAAAATTATTATTTATTTTTAAATTAATTTTTTTTATATTCATCTCTATTAAATACTTTATAATAAATATAAAGTTATTATTAATATGGATACTTTTAAAAAAATAATGATTACATATTGAAAGATTAAAAATATCTTATATTTTTAAATATCTAACTTCTCAAAAAATACTTTATATTTTTTAACGGAAGGAGTAGCAATTAACATATCATCAATATATCAAGTATAATTATTAAATTTATGACATTTGATAGTATGATACAAAAATATGTTCATGTATGTACTCCTATATAAATTATAAAATTAAACTTTCCTGATGTTAAAAAAAAAAATTATACTACTATTTTACAGGCGTTTACTCGAAGGCAAGTACTCGAGTCTTGAGCATCAGGAAAATAAGAGTACTTTTTAGTGAAGACAAGAGGCCCACGTGTACGGCGATGATATGATTGCTCGTTGAAAACGTTGGGCCGATTGTCCCAAGTCACAATCCCGTCCCCACTGCTGAGATGGATTTTGGATTTCACCCAAACAAAAATTTGATATCTTACAGAATAATTTGAAAACCATATTTAACAAATGGATAGCGTGGAATGATAATTTCTATATTGAATGTTAGAATTTAGAGGATTAATTAATAATGGTACGGTGGCGATAGCTGTTGACGTGTCAAGGGGTGATTGGCTTATGAGAGCCACAGTGCTGCAGAGGGCAAGTGATTGAGAATCTGATGGGCGCGACTGACGTGGACTTCCTTGTCAAGTGAAGGGAGGGCGGCAAAACTCTTTTTCAGTCATCCTTGTCATTTAATTATTTTTATTTTTTTGAAATATTTTTAAAAAAGTAATAAAAAAATTTCTTTAAATTATATAAATGATAAATTAATATTTAAAAATATCATAATTTTATTGAAATTTTTAAAAAAATTTCTATCATTAATAAATTTATATAAAAAAATTAAACTTAATTTTTTTAATTTTTAATTTATTTATAACTCAATCTGTCAAGTAAAATTTATTATCCTTCAACTATAACTTACTGTAACTCAATTCTTTAACTTTTAATTCACTTATAACTTGGTCTTTATTTTTTAAAATTTTTTAAAATTATCTTTATCAAATAAAAGGAATAAAAAATACTCATATTTTGCTCAAAAACACCCTCCTCTTACACCCTTGATGTGGGATTTTAGTTAGCATGAAAAAACAAAACCAACAAAAGTTGAGAAATTAAGTCATAAATGAGTCAAAAGTTAAAGAACTGAATTATAAACTACTCAAAAGTTGAGAGACTGAGTCGTAATAAATCATATTTGATGTTGAAGGATTGAATTACAAGTGAGTTGAGAGTTAAAAGATTAAAAAATTAATTTTTTATTTTATAAATAATTAAATTATCCTTGTTGAAAATAAAATAATCACAAATTTTGTTTAAATAATATTAATTTTTTTATATTAGTAACAATGTGATAACAAATCATAACATCGCATGTTAGATTTTTAATATTAATACAAATATTGAAAATAACAAATATCTACAAATTTTATTTAAATAATCATAAATTTTTTTCTTATATTTATAATAATACATTAATAAATTATTTTACATGTTAAATTCTTGATATTATTGTAAAAGTAATTTAATATTTTAAAAAATTAAATTATTATTTATACAATTCATGATTTTTTTTTAAATTGTTATTATAATTCTTTTTCAATTGTTCTGAATCCTGATCATCTTGAGGTGGAGACCCCACCTGACAAGGCATATTGTCAGTGTCACAACATGACTCTCAACTCTTCACTGTTCCAGGTCCAGAAGGGTAGAAAACAACCTTCCACGTTGTTTCTTTTTGAAATAACCAAGCAAAAAATTATAATACACTTCAAAAAATTATAATTATTCTAAAAATTAAATATTTTAATAAATTGTTACAGATTCACTATAATTTTTTCAAAAAAAAATGATCAAAATGTTATTTAACAATGAACCATTTTGAAAATTTGATGATATTTTGTAAATATGTATAAATTTAGAGAAGCCACGCTATTTGTAAGCGTGAATAATTGATTCATTATAGAGCCCGTGCAAAATAATTATCCATAAAACTAGTTTTATAACAAAATTTTGATACACAATAATTTTTACTCCCTTCTTCCTAAAATACAAGGAATTTTTTTGAGGTTGAATGTTAAAAAATATAAAATATTTTTAATTTTTTAAATGTAATTAATGAGTATTTTTTCTAAAAACTCTTAATAAATAAGTCAATCTTACATTTTACTCTTAAGTAAAACATTTTATTAAATAAAAATAAACATAAAAATATGATATTAGTTTAAGAATAGTAGACTAACTTATTGAGAAGTATAATTCAGTAAAAAAAAAATTTATATTTTTTGAATAGAGAGAGTAACTTTTAAAAGTAATAAAAAATTAAAATTGTGTTGATATAACTTTGTTAAAATTATATCTTTAGATAAAATTTCCTTTCAATCAAGCATAGGACAACCCTAAAATTGAGATGAGAAGTCTTTATAGCTTCATTCAGCCACCCAAAAAGTTTAACAAAAAATTGACTTCATCTTCAATTTGTGATCATGACCAGCATCTTTACTCTTATGAAGCAATGTTTCTTTCATGTGCATGGTAGATAAACTTTGCAATATATAAACTCAGATTATCAGCAGAGATAAGACAACTTTCAAACGTTTAGTTTTTTAAATTACATTAAAAAAACACTGAATTTATATTCAAATAATGCAACAGATCAATTGATTAAGCTTCCGATATTTATAAATTAGACCATGGCATTAACTTTCCCATGTTTACAAATTACAACATGGGCTTTGGGCGGCCCATGGAATTTAAAACAGATTGCATCGTTCATCAACTTGCAAAAGATTTTTATTATAAATGCGCCAACTCTCGGTGATTTTGTTTTTTTAAACCTTCTGTTGTGTAGTCAAGAGCGAAGAGTTACTGATTAGTAACAGTGCCTCGGCAGGTGGAAAATTACTTCCTGAGTTCGAAATTATCAAGTAAAAAAAAAAAACATGGTGGGCCACAGTCAGTAACATGAATTTCTATTTCAAGTAGATAGGATAAGATTCGTTCCTAAACTATAAGCTCCGAATTCCAATTACATTGACAGAGAGGGACACCTGGAAAATGTAATTTATCATGTCTGATTGTCACTACAAGTCAATAAGGGGTTTCACCTTTTTCAGCGGCCCAAAATGATAAAATTCAATCCTCCAACACGCCAAGAGTAATAAGAAAACCACCAACCACAATCAAGTAAGAAGGATGACAAGATATTTAGTGAACTTTTCCTCATAATCATGGGGATTTACCTGAAGGGATGTTCATCTTTTTCCTATTTTTCTCTTTCTTCTAGAGTCCAGGCATTGTCCTAGATGGGAGCCTTATTCTAACAATTACTAAAAAATTTGTATTTTTTTTATTGGATAAGCCTAAAATAAAAAACAATGCTTTAGCCAAAAGCTAGTATATCTCTTCTAAGCAAGAACCTGATGCGTGTATCCGCTATAGTTTTACTGCAATGCGAAGCCCATCATAGCTGAGTTGCATGTCAAGACCCTCAGACTCCAAGAATTTTGCGAGATAGTTGTTCACTTCTTCATGATCCATCAGATGCATCATACCTATCAATTGCCAGTGGGGAGAAATAGCGAGTTATCTTCTGAACTACTTTTCATAGGTGAATATTATAAAAACCAGCTGTCATTATAAGATACTAATTTAAATCTTCAACTCATAGACTCTATCCTTGTTCCTTAATGCTTGAGCTTTGAAGTATACTGTCACATTAGGAAAATCAAGGCATAGAAACTGGAGGGAGATTTTTAAATAAAATATGTAGTTTCTTATATGTTTGCTGTATGCCTGAGTCATATCTTATGCAAAATAGGGAGCTTGACCCAAACTTACCAGTAAACAGTGTCCTCTTGGGTTGTATTTTTCGCACTTCCTCTATTGCCTGAAATGAGGAGAGTAGAAATAAACTACGTTTCTTTAAGACAAATGTAATAGATGTGAAAGAAATTACCCTTGGAAGTCCAAAATGTGTGGAACTAGAGCGATCAGGCCTCAGAGCATCCTGTACAATCACAACTTCTATAAGCCCAAGACGAAAATTGATTACTTTTTCTCTTTCAGGTAAAATGGAAGCTTATGAATGTTTCTGTATGAAACGTGAGAGGGTAGGCACCAGAATTAGAATTTCACAATCCTTCAAAAGTGGATAGGTTTCCTCTGGAATTTCACTAACATCACTGCAATGGTAGGCATGCGATTAGCTCACTTCTATTGCAGAAAAGCTGTACTTTCAGCTACTTCTCAACTTAGAAGCATTACCTAATGTAACATACATCCCCAAAACGGAAACCAAGGGAACGATAACCTTGGCCATGCCACACCGGCAAGGGAGTAATCTGGAACACATTAATAAAAGAAAACGACAATATAAGAGCCTAGTCACATGCACTGTTCAGGAACAAGATCAGGAAGTAATTGGGTGAGCAATAAAGTGAGCAAAATAGACTATAGAACGGAAAAATACTAACTTCAGACTATTAGACTGTTATTTGTTCTGACCTTCAATCCATGCACAAAAAATGGCTCTTCAGATATGATATTGAATTGCAACTTTGATACTGCAGCACCAGGGATGACAACACTTGTATCTACTAAATAATAATGTGTCTTCTTCAACACCTGCACATATTTTGTAATGAAGACGTGGTTACATTCACAAGAGAGCACATTTCAACAGTTCTCATTCAACTAACAAAGAGTGAATAAGTGTAATGACCATTAGAAGATGAAAATCAAAAGCTTCCAACCCTTATTCCACCAGAATTTGCATGAAAACAATAATCAGGACAACACTGAGAGAGATATTAAGAGAGTAATATAATAGATTTCAAATCCCAAAGAATGAGGGGCGTTGAAAATCAAAATGGGGGGGGGCATAGTAAACCTGAGGAAGTCACCAATAGCCACAAAACTGAAAGTAAGCTTTTAGAAACTAGCTTATATGAAGCTTCCTCCTTTGACAAGATTTGTGAACACAAAACGTTCCATCATGAAAGGGAGAGGAGATCCAACCTTGGAAACATTTGACATGATTCTCAATTTACACACATTAGATTATACCAGAAGTATAAATTGGGCTATAAAAGAGGAATATGTAACTAAGTCCATTTCCTTTTTCTCCTAGTTTTCTCAATTTAGTATCAAAATTACAGGTAAAAAACAGGAATATCCACAAATCATTATATGGATCTCCTGCACTTCCAATGAGTAGACAACTTTCAAAATGTAAATGGGAATGCAGATGTAGGAACTTCTTCATGCAAGTCGCATAAGGATATGTTGGTCAAAATATGCCCATCTGCAACAATCCCCAAGATAGAATGATCATCTATTAGCTCTAAGAACTGATTATGGAAATTCCTTAATTTCTTTAAACAAGGTGCATGGAGGATTCTAATTCTAATACCTCCTGTGGCCTCCCAACCAATTATTTACACCAAGGCATATACATACGGATGATAAGCACCAAGTAAAGGGACAATTTTGATAAGGACCTCAAAGTCACGCTCAGCTACATATATTGGAATAGATGGTTGAACATTGTTTGTCCAATCTCGAAGATCATCAAGACCTGAGGAAAAGAGATAAGTTTTCATCAACATAATAAATCAAGATACTAATTAATTCAAATGAGATTTAACATTGTCAGAAAGATTATTCAAAAAGCATCAGATAGTGTTCATGTCAGAGACCTCCAATTGCATCAGCATGTGAATGAGTAATAATAACTGCATCAAGTGTTCTTAGCCTGACAGAAATTCGATTAGTTTGGGACGGAGGAAGCAAAAACATAAATTTACAATACAAGAACTCGAAAGAGAACCATATGCTCTACAAATCAATCAGTTGTCCTGAAAATAAACAAAAAGATGGAAAAAGAAATGCTGGCACTACTGCAGGCAGAAAACATGTAACATATTTCTTGGATTTTTGTCTCTTAAACTGTGTAATATGAACTCCCCTCAAAATTAAACTGTCATTTAAAAAAAAAAGAAAAAAAAAAGAGGAATGCAACTGTTAGTTAACTTGGCAAGCAAAATAGCCAGACAGTGATGATTCTAACCTACTGCAAATGATGAAAGAGAAATGATGAAGGATTTAACAGCAGAACTAACCCCAATGTAGGAAACCATCGAAGAGCACTCTGATAGAAAAATCTGCAAAACAACAAGTAAATATTTTATTATCAAATATATACATCTAATATCTGAATCCATCAGTCAGGGTTATGCAGTTAAATTTCTTCATTCATAGCAGCAACAATTTTGAGCTCAAACAGTTAAGGGTTAGCTAAATAAGTCAATCAGAATCTTTCACTTGAATAGGCATGGCCAGTGCGCACTTTCACTTGAATAGGCATGGCCAGCGCGCACGTGTTACGGCTATATCCTATTTTTATTGAAATGGTCATATGAACTTAAACCCTATCTTAGAGCAACTTCATCATATCCATAGTGCAGGCATCACAAAATATACTAGTTCCTATCATGTATCATGAATAGGAAACTCAGGATCAACTTCAACAAGATTTCATCAGTCTATCACAAACGCAATAACTGAAACTCAATGATGGCAACTATTCCAAGTGATCCAGATGTATTCTACAGATTTATAATTATGACATGTAAGGGAATTTTATTACTTACTTCCCAACATCTATTAGAACATTGCGGCTTCCTGAGGAGCTCGGTTGACGAATAAGAATGCTTGTGTTAAATCTCCTATTCTTATTACCCGGTCCAGTAGCCTTGGAACAGACCTGCAGGGGCCAACTCTTTAAACATTTTATATAGTAAATTGCAGGCGTTTAATTCTAGACTCATTACATATAATAAGAAGCTTTGCTTTACTGCAAAGGTTCTGAAATTGGTACCGGGCATTTCTTAAGAGGATTAGTCAAGCAGCTAACTCGCGGAATCCCTTCACTAGTTCCCGTTCCCATGAATATCATTTCTGATTGATCCGCAGGTGATCCCACCACAGAGTCTTCATCAGCAGAACCTGTGTTGAATTAAAAGAGTCAACGAAAATTCTATCTATGCCACCTTAAAACTGCAGAAGGAAAGAAAAATAAAATCTTCAATGAATTCTTCCAAGAAAAATTGTGTCTTCAGTAGCGACGACATAACAACCTTCACCTATTTCCTCACCTCCAACACTGCCCCAAAACGTGCGTTACATACAAATATCGAAGTCTACGCACTTCAAGACGCCTATTGGTCCTCCGAAATCAACAAACAACAGTCTCGAGGGAATTTTAAATTGAACATAAGAATAGAACTCAGACTCAATTTAACACCGATGCTATGTCAAGTAACTCGGTTAACCGAATTAAACAGGCAATAGTATCATAATTAGCCTTAAATCCATCGTACCAGTAGCGCAGGGCAATGCGACAATGGAAGTATGCTGTGCAGAGAAAAACAAGCAGCAAGTGAAGGAGAAAAGGTGGAACTTACTGGAGCGAAGGCGAGCCTGGAAAATAGGTCTGAGGAGAGGAAGGGCAAAGGAGGGAAGTGAAGAAGCAGATCTGCCCCATGAAAATCGAGGAGCGATGGGAGAAAGAGAGGCAAGGGAAGAAGGAAGGCGAATAGAGGCAACGACCATTGGTGCGTCACCCAATCAGCCACCAAATCAACGACCACTCTTTAGTCTCCACACTCTCTTCCACTGTGTATTACTCTTTTCGCCCTGACTCTGCCTCTCTGTTTCACTTTCGCCTGACTCAGCCACCTTTCCGCCATCTGCTTCAAATAACGGCCTCTCTTGGTAGATATTTTTTTTAAAGATTATTCCTATTATTAGTTTCTAATATTTATACATTATTAAATTTTATGAAAAAAAAAAAAAAAGAATCACAACTTAAAAAATTGCGTGGAGTGAAATGAAATTTGTGATGAAATGTTAACTATTAAATCTGAAATGCACATGACCTTTTTCGTGAGAGAGAGAGAGAGTTACAGTCAGGTCATAAATAAAAAAAGAAAATTATTTCTTCAGTTCATTTATAATTTAAGCTTTTATATTTATATATTAAAACTTAATATTTATAAATAGGTAGAACTTATAAATAATTATCTCTTTCGTTTAAAAATGTAAAGTATTTTTTGAACAGTTAAATATTTAAAAATGTAAGACATTTTTAATTTTTTAAAATGTAATCATTATCTTTTTTTAAAAAAAACACTCTATTGATAATAACTTTATATTTATTATAGGATGTTTAAGAGAAATGAATATAAAAAAATAGGATTAACTTAAAATAAATAATAACTTTATTGATAAATAAAATTTGATTAAAAATATTTTTATATTTTTGAAAAGGGGAGTAATTTTTTTTATATGAGACTTGTACATAATTGTTTTATGAATGTTAAATATAACGAACTTAAGCAACCCAACCCTGACACGTGAGATTACAATTCCTTGGAGAATCTCCTTCGCATCGTTAATCTTTTTTAATGCCATCAATATTGCCTGCCAATACAAGCAAAGACGAGAACAGCGTTCGCTACTGCAGGCGTCATCGTTCTCAATGTCGACTTCGAAACATCTTCATCTTCATCTACTTCTCCTAAATTTCTCCTTCCCATTTCTACTATCGGCTCATATAACTCACCCTCATTCTTTACCTGCCTTGAACTCTAAATTTTCGAGGAGGTTGAAGAAACAGAGGAGCCAAAATTTGTTACCACATGTTACTGAAAATCCATGTGGGCCAAATTGAGAGTTAACCCAGGTAGTAGTGTTGCAAAGCTTGAAGTGAATGAAAGAGCATTGGTAAGAGTGAATGTGTCGGTCGCATAACAAGCAGAGCTTTGCAAAGTCAGCTCCATAGAACAGAACCACCATTTTTTAACTGCAAGGAAATTTTATCTGTGTACTCTCACTTGACAATTTATTTAAATGGAAACTTGAAGATGGATGAGACGCAATTGGAAGTGATAAGCAGGGGTTGAGAATAAGAGGGGGGAAGTGGTGGCCTCTTTAGGAATGTAAAATTGGGTGCAAAGTGCGATCATAACCTCTTTTGCAGTGGAGATGACTAGGAGGGACAAGGTGGAGAGTGATAGACTTTGATCATACGTGGATGCTTGGTAGCCAACTCATTGCACTTCACAGTAGTTTAGGATATATTTGGTTAGAGAAAAGGAAAGAGATTTTAATGGAAGGAAAGGGAGGAGTTTGATATTATCTTATTTGTTTCAGAAGGAGAGTGGAGGAAAAATCAATATATATAAATAATTTTACCTTCATTTTATTAGTATTGAAATACTAAAGAAGATCATCTATATTTTTTAAATTTATTATAGAAAATATATTGATCAAGGTGTGACAAATTTTATCCCTCCCTTTCCAATTCCTCAATTTGGAGGAAAGGAGAGCGGACCGCCCCTCTAATTTTTTAAGTTAAATTGCTTCATTCTCTCCAACCAAACACCCCCTTAACATTTTAGGAAAAGAAGGACCAATACTTTTAGTGTGTGTTTGTTTCAAGGAGGAGAAAGGAGATAGTTAATATTACCTTATTTAATTTTAACATTATTTGGTTTTCTTAAAGTGAAGATAAGGGGAGTGGAAGCGATAACTAATTTATTATTTTATTTATACATTAATTTTTAATTGTTTACTCACGTCATATAAATTAATTTACACCTTAATTTAAACTAATATTTATATTTTTCAACTATTTACTTTCATGTGATAGCCACCCCTTTGATCCAAAAAAAGAACACTCACTGGGTGAAACGAGAATAAAGAAGCAGAAATTAAAAGGAAGAATATGCCATCACTAGGAGTTCATGTTCATCACTTCATCTTTAATCCTAGTTTCCCTTGCACTACTTTTGAAATTACATATTTCTATACTAAGAAAAAGTCAAGGTATGGGGTGAAGCATGACTTGGCTATGGACATACATGAAATATATATAAAAAAAAAAAGATAAATTAATCAAGAAATTTAGCCCCCTTTAAAAAAAACCTTAATTTAAAGGAAAACAATATGAGGGGAGGGAAGGACCCCTCTAAAAATTTTTAACCCAATGAAAGAAAGGGAGTATCTTTCCTCCCTTTCTCTCCAAAGCCTTCCAATCAAACACACCTTTAGTAGAAAATTACTTTAAGGATTTAATTAAAAGAAAAAAGTTCTAAAGACTTGATAAAAATTAGGTGAAACTATAAGGATCAAGAGATCAATTTTCTCTTAAGTTATATATAAAAACTATATCTTGAACTAATACATCATTTACGCCGTTGATATTTGATAATACTATAGCATATGTATGTGGAATTTGGGAAAAGGAAGAAGAAAGAAAAGACCAAAAGAAAGAAAGAAAGAATCAGTATTTATTTCCAAGAATGAACACAATATAAAAGGCCATGTGTATGTGTATGGACGATGTCTGTCATAAATTCTGAAGTCAACTAATTCAAGTTTAAATAATAATTAGTTAAGGATATACGAAGGACTAATTCGATCTGGAGTAAATTAATGTTAAGGAGGGTTGGATAATTCAAATATTTATGACTGAATTAATTAAATCTTGATTACTTTCAAATAATCACATATCTGAAGTCAACACGTTTGGAAAATAGCTGCTTCACCATAAATTTCTTAGGGTCAACATGCTTGAAACCACAATCCTAATTTTAGGTTTAGACAGATAACGTCAACGCATAACTTACTGTGAAACACTTCGAATTCTCTGTAATAACATCATAATACCGTGAGGGTGCAACATGAAAATACATTCTTTTTTTTCATTTTTAAATTTTTTGCACGCATTTTTTTAATATCTATTTTTGCGACTGTACTTGTAGTGAAGCTGTTGAAACTTGAAATGCAAGCTTGTGAAAGTTGGGAACTTGGGATTGCAAGGAGCAAGAAAAGTGATGTTTCAAAGAAAGAGCCTGATGGAATATAAGAGTAATTATATCTATTTTATTTTTTTTAAAGATTTACTACGATTTCTCGTGCATTTATAATTATCTCTTAGATTTGATTGGGTTTAGAATTCAGATTCATTTGGATTATATTATTTATCTAAGATTTCGATTACAATTTTTTTTTGGGTTATAAAATTTATTTCATTTTAATTCGAATAAAATAATATTCTATCTTTCATGATAATATAATCAATGAGGGGCGGGATCTGAGAGTTGGTCCACACCGTATAAAGCTTTTATACGAGTGGAAGATAGGTCAGTAACTGCCTCGGGTGGATAATATTCTTGATTTAACGAGTTTTAATATATTACGTTGCTTTTTTTTATTTTATTAATACATAGTACTAAGCAAAAAATCTAGCTTAGTGCAACTTAGAGCATGTTAATTAATTAATTAAAACTACAATAACTAAATTAGCTTTGATATTTCTCGTTGTTGGAATATGATGATTCTGTTTCCCCTTGTGGCCTCATTTCAATTGTTTAGTTAAAATTAGGTTATATTCCCTTCATTTTAAATTATAAGATAATTTGATATCAAATATGCATACAATAAAATACAATAATTACACATTATAAATTTACTTTTTCAATACAGAACTATAAACTTTTAAAAATATATTTAATCATTACTCTACAATATCATTTTAATTCTCTCTTTACTTGAAGGGTAGTAATGAAAAAATTATCACTAATAAAATTTTATTTTTTTAAATTATCTTATATTTTGAACAATAAAATTTTTCCAAAATTATCATATAATTTGGAACAGAAAGTATCGTATACGTATGTTTTGAAAGTTGATAAATACCCCCCAAAGTTCTTTTATAATTAAAAAGAAAAAGGAAAAGGAAACTCAATTCATATTTCTAGAACATATTAGAGCAAAAGTTAATAATAAAATAAGACTATATTATGAATATAACCTGAGTATTGACTACAATTCGAGGATTACAAAGGAGAAAAAAGTATTTCAAATTTTCCTTTCCCTGTGAGAAGTAAAGACTAACCCTATGAGACCACCTGTGCTGTGCCAGAATATCCCAATCCTGTGACTAAAAATCTACCATGTACCCACTAATCTTTGTTTACCTTCATTCTTCTGACCTCTCCGAATAACCCATACATACCTCTCGTGCCATCTAAAACCAGAGAAAGAAGTGCGTTTAATACTCCACATAAGAAAAATCATCATCCAGGCTCAACAATCATGACATCATCATTAAGCTTTGTCCCACATTCAACAAGCCAGAACCATTTTGCAAGTATGATTCTACTTCCTCAGCTTTCACATGCCACATAGAATGGTGGAAAAAGTTTTCAGGGTTTGTTTTCTGCATCAAGAACAATAATTCAGAAGCAGATAAAAATGAGGCAGAATGATGTGTTCTTTGGCAAGAGTGTATCGCAAACTGGTCACAGGTTAAGTCAACAAGGATTTGGATCCAGTTAATGGTATAAATCCATTCACTCAATAGTGGTATGATAGTAACCGTCGATTTAATCAAACTGTTATAAGAAATTTTGTCATATAATACTGAGAATACACCAAATTTCACCTGTCTAAGATCAAACCTGATCAGTTGAATTTTTGGCAAATTTGCATGTGAGGAGTGTTTTGGTCATGAGGATTGTTTTGAATTTTTAAAGAAAAATCTATCTTGATAATTTTCAAACGTTGATGAAATCCAACAGTTATAATTGAATACTTATTGAGTGAGTAAATTTGGACCATTCACCAAATCCAAATCCAGTAATTAGTACTCCAATTCTAATGCAGCACAATACACGTATATTGACCGAACTTAATCCCTGGGTTGCATGAAATTCAAGGTTTTATATATGAATATGAAATTCTCTGGATATGAAGTCCAGCGAAATCCAATAAATATTCACTACATATCCAACCACCACCACACCATGTTCATGATAAGCATTAATTTAATATATCGCCTCCCAAAAATAAACACATCCTCATTTCATGATTAATCTAGGCACTAAATAAGCATGGTGACTATATTAATGTGAAGCTGATTTAAACAACTCTGCAGCCTGTGTCATGCTAATTCACATCTCAAAGCATCAAGTTACTCTAAATTACTTTCCAGCCTCAATATTCACAAATCAATCCAGATTATTGACGGTGCTAATTCAGCAAATTATATGCTTGATTAAGTAATAAGAAACACCAAATCCCTTCCTGTGATTATGACTAGATTGCATGATTAATACAAGTGCTTCATTAACTAAATATGCACGGTAACTGGGTAACATGAAGGACTCAAAAAGCTTCTAGTTTAAAAAAAAAAAAAGAGTGTTTCCTATAACTATCCACATAATCTAAAGAATAAATATGCGTCCAAGTATTCCCTCATAGTTGATAGTTGATACTAGTGTCGTTAGAATTGACTTAACGTTACTCCTTCATATCCGTTAAAGTTCCTTGTCCATCTCTACTTTTAACCATACTACAAATTCTTACCAGTCAATGCGTGTGTGGTTATAATATTCATCAAAATCAATGCCATCATCAGATTTTTTTCCAGACAATATGTATGGTTACAACATAATTTTAACTAATTCTTCCATATATCTTCACCAAGCTTGCAAGTCAAATAAATTATCATAAATGCACACTTTTGGTTGTCAATATTACACAAAAGATGCAAGTAGGTAATTTCTATATTAGGAAAAACTCTTAAATTTATTGTGAGCAATTAAGATTATGCTAATAAAGAGCATATTGACTAAACTCTGAGAAGGCAAATCAGTGTTTCCAAGCATGAACACAAAGTAAAAGCTTTGAACATAGAGATTTGTCTTGAACTCTAAAGTCAATCAGCAAGAAGATTAAGGGGTTAGGGATGTAATGAGCACAAGACTAAGTTTCAAAACTCAGTTATCATTATTATTAATGTCATAAATTTTGGATGACTTAAATATTACTAAAAGATGTAAATCTTGATCACCTTTAAAAGGTTGAAATTTCAAAGTCTGCATGCTGAGAGCAACTGCGAAAGTAGGCAGTTACACGGTCAAGGTCGCTAATGAAGATTTTATATGTTGATCCGACTCCTAAATTCAATGACTTCGATTTAATAAAAGATGAATCCTCACACTTTAGCAAGGCAGCAGCCCCACAGGTAGCCTGAAAACGCATAAAAATAAAACCTTTAACAACACAACTATAGTTTACCAGACAATTAAAAACAGAAATGTTTCTCTCTAACATTCTGTCTGTCTCTCTCTCACAAACACACACACACACAAGGACGTGCTCTATATGTAACAAAGAATTTTCTCTATACCATGACAGTATGCAAGGATAGCTTAACAGCTTCAATATTATGGTGTCGCCGTAACACATTGATGAATCCATGTAAAGTCTCTTCTCTCTGCCTCCGTTGATAAATTTCCAATTGATCATGCATCTCATGAATATCAATTGTCAAGTCATCCAAAGAAGGAAGGCCAAAGTCAAAAAAGGCAGATGAAGAAGAATAAATGTAGCTGAAATTGGTAAGCTGTGGGGCAGCAACAACAAGTTTACATTTAAGACGGTTGCATACTAGTGAAAGGTTATTAAGTTGGGGTGCAGATATCACAAAATCCCTCGGGGTCAAATCTGACTTAAAGCAAATTTCACTTAAGTGCAAATTCTTCAAATTTACACAATCAGCAAATGGATCCAGACGGGCAAGTCCTGTACAACTTAAAGTAAAGCTGTTGAGATGCAAAGTTGTTAACTTTGTAAAACCAAAAAGCTTCTGTATACTAGAAAATGGATTTGAAGAATTAGCTTGATCAGGATGCAATGGAAAATGTTCAAGATGCAACATTTCCAATGATTTGCAGCCAACAGATGTTGGGACATTTGTAGGGTGGCAGTCTTTTAACTCAATCCTTTTCAAGGATCGGCAGGCAAATAAGGAGGAAGGGATTTCAATGGGTGGACTGCCAGAGCTTTTCCCACGAAGGTTGATTCGGATTTCTTCAACACCATGTGAAGTAGCAAATTCGATAACCTTATTCAATAGTGACTGATCAGTAGCATAATCCACCCCAAAGCGACAGTATGTAAGAGCTTTGATATGAGAAGAATCACGTTGGGATAGGACCCGCTTTACAAATCTTTTGAAATCAGACAACCGAGAAAATGATTTGCTGTTGAAGTTTAGGCAGGGAACTGAAGCCCACATAAATTTCCATCTTCTTGACAGAACACTGGTTCGAATTGCATCCTTGGTTTCCATAAATGATAATATATGATGGATAAGGTTGTCCGGTAAATCACTCAATCTGCCTTGGCTTTCTGCTGCATCATCATCTACCTTATGAGAGGCCAACATTGTTCTTCTTAACTTCTTTGATGTACGACCGGATCCCCGAAACTCAGCTCTCTTCATTCTGACTTCAGAGCAGTCTATTGAATTGGCCATTCCAGTGCTTTTAATCAGATTAATTGACTAAACCATTGATGGGCCTATTCAGTCAACAGCAGAAATACTATGCATGGAATCTGAAAAGCCACGATAACTATAGTTAACTGAAGAGAGAAATCAGCACATGAAAGTAAAATATTGCTATACATCAAAGAAACAACTAAAAGCTCCCCTTTTAACAATAAACGAGAGGAAATAGAAACAGAGATAAGCTGTCCAGCCCCTTCAAACAGCCCAAAAAATTAACACAAAATAATTATAACTTCAGGCTCCAGCATCCAATGATGATCTGCCGACTCATCGAACACTATCTTGAATATGTTATACCATTTTCTTCAACAAACAAACCCAATTCCCCACCACCATCAATTAGACTTTACCATTTATACCCAATCAAATCCTCAGACAATTGAAACAAGCTAAATTTTCATAGACGACTCACGAATTCGCGTAAAAACCCGATTCCGTACAAGATAAAGCCACGCGACAATCCAATTTCAGATGGTCAATAACAATCAAGTAGGCAACTTTACCATTGCAGGGATCAATAAGCAGGCAAAACACACTTTAAACAATACCGGGATAAGAAATAGATTATTGGGGAATTCGGGAAATGGATTTTACAACTGGGGAGGATCCGAGCTGGAATATACCTGAGAAGACGATCAAGGGTACGAGCGTTGACACCCCTTTGTACCGCGTCAAAAATCATCAGAAGTTGATAGTAGAAGTAGCAGAGTCTCTTACAGTCTAATGGCAGTATCCATGGCTGATTTTGCGTGTCTGCCTACAAGATATTGGCGGCGCGCAAAGTGGGTCTTGCAGTGTCTTAATATCGATTTTCTTGGCTCTTTTTAATCTTCTTCATTCTCCAACAAAAGCAAGCCCGCAGAAAAAGGGGAAAGGCTGAAAATCACGCGGATGGGAAGAATATCTTTCTTTAACGCAATTGAGATTTGAGGATTCATTGTTAGGTTTATTTCAATAATGATAACATTGTTATCTCTGTCCTTATTTCTTTTTTTCCCTAACAGGCAAAAAAAATTATGGTTTTCTTACCATATCTCAGTTGAATTTCTAAAATAAAAAAAATATTACATCTTAATTCAATGCTGTATTTTAACTCAGAACAGTATTTAAAAGGGAGAATTATATTTAATACTTGATAAAAAAAACTTATTTATAAATAAGGATTGATGACAAATTTTATTTAAAAAAATACGTTCATATTTTATTTCAACAACAATTTATTTTATATTAATTCTTATGTGCAAATACGTTTTTTACCATGCCTTTGGATGAGATTCTCCTTATTAGAAAAATGGTAATCCTTGATTTATTCTTATCTATTAGAATATATAAAAGTGGTGCCCTGATGAAAGTAATGCAGCTTATTTATTGGCCCAATATAATTTCGATATAATGTGACCAATAGGGAGTTAGGGACTACTGACTGGATTTAAAAAAATGAAAATAGAAGTTTAATATTATCATATCAATTTATAGTCACTAACTCACAATCATATCAATTATATTCATTGTTTTGTTTGTAATAATTTTCAAAATTAAAAAATAAAGTAATTAATTTAGGTAGTTTACAAAATTTTTAGAATAATTTAGCACAATTATTGTGGCTTATTTATGCAATTTAGTTTTTTTATTACCAACCAAAACTAATAAAAATTTTGTTTGGTTCAAGGTTTTGGACAGGTCACTCCCTCACTTTTTCCCCTTTCTCAGTTGATCGTAGACCGGTGACCAAGTGAGAGTTCATCAAATTCTAGTTTAACCAAAAAAAAAAAAATCAAGTTTACCTTAATTTAATATAAAAGTTTTCTGACATTGAGATGAGAGAAAAAAATTATTAGGTAAAAAAGTAAATTGACATAATCTAGAAACATTTGAGATCCTAAATTTATTTTTGATGCAACGCTTTCCTTCAACTTTTAAAAATAATTAAATTATATTATTTTTAAAAGTTAAAGTGAAATATTGTAGTAAAAATAAAAATATGATCTCAAATATTTTTGAACTTATGGTTTAGATATCAATTTGTTCTTGTATCCAAAAATATTTTAACTAGATTATCCCCGTTCTATGTTAAATTTTTTAAACTGCTTATCAAAAAATGTTAAACTATTCTTGACGTTAAAAAAAATTCATCTATCCTCTTGTGTAATAAAATAAATTTTATCACCTTATAAAGTCCATTACATAGTTCATGCATGCATGAAGTTTCAATATTTTTTTCCCTGGGTACGCATTGATACATTGTAAAATTGTTATATTGGGATTCAACAAAAAATAAATTGATACATTGGTTGTTCAAAAAATTATTAACGTAAAGTGAAAATATTGACATTTTCAAACTAAAAAACTAATAAATTATAATATAATTACTATTTTAAATTTAATAATGAATCAAGACAAAAAATCTAGAAAACAACTTAAATTTGACGGGGTAAAATCAATTTCTTATTGTCTTAGATAAATCATTTTTTTATTATTAGCCTTCTCTTAGATAAATCATTTTTTTATTATTAGACTTTTCTCTTAATTAAACAAGTTATCATTAAAATCGATTCTCACAATACAGAAAAAGAAAAAATCTTTTCTTTTATTTTATCCAGTCAAAGATCATTAATTTCGCTCCCATTCATTGAAATCCTTTTCTTCCTCATTTCTTTTCGACTGAATCAAACACACCCCAAAAAATAAATATCGCAATTTCATGGTGCATGTCAATTTATAATCATATCATCTTATCAATTATATTCGTTTTATATATGTCTGTGTGTGTGTATTAAGTATTAAAACTATAAAATAATTAATTATAGATAGTTGACAAAATTTTCACATTAAATTGACATTAAATATTACATAAGTGCATTTTCAGGCCCTATATATTTAGTGCAATTAATGCAGCTTTTCACAATTCTATACTCCCTAGTCCCTCCCATCTTTTATTATTATTATTATTCATTACATTTTTTTCTACACTATACCGTGCTTATTCAATATTGGTTTTTGTTTTCTAAATTTGGGTCTTTAGCTTCTCAAATGATGAGGTTAGTTATTGCAAAGTTTAAAACTCTTAATTTTCAAACAGAGTTAAAGCGCTTTAAGCCTCTCATTAGTTGTGGTGAAGGTCTGAAAACCACTTATAAAGAGGATCGAAAACGGTATTTATCTTAAAAATTAAAAAATAATTTAATTATATTTGACTAAATTTCTTTACATTAAGTAGGCACAATTGATGGGGCTTATTAATTATATCTGCATTATTGCATATCATGAGGGACAAATGGAGAAAACATTACACGCTACAAAAGTCAAAATCATATACTTTTTTCATTAAAAAATATAAAATATTTTTAACCAAGCCTCACTTTTTAATAAATAGTTACCTACTTTCAAACTAATTTTATCTTTTTATATTTACTCTTATTAAACATCCTACTATAAATATAAAATTATTCATCAATAAAGACATTTAAAAAAAAAAAGAGATTATGATTACATCTCAAAAAACTAAAAATGTCTTATATTTTTAATGGAGGAAGTATACATTACCAACCCTTCTTGCATGTACATGCTTGTAGGAAAGGGTATTGTCACTTTTGTCTTCATTAACAAAGAAGAAATTGAGAATTAATGGTAGAGATTAAGAATTATTAATTTTATAAGACATATTATATCACTCAATTTTATTTTCTTTTTTGCGTAAATGCCCCTCATTAATTGCTGGCAGAGTAACAAAAATTAAATTTATGCTGGAAATTAAATCATTTAATAGGAGCAATCTTGAAAAATAATTACAACTTAGGACAAATCTAACAAGTTAAATTATCTTTTAACCATTTTAATTTGCTCATATTTAATGGCGGAATGTAGTATATTGCAAGCATGATATGATAGAACTTTTAGGTTTCTCTTTCTCTTTCATTTTTTCCATTTCAATTTTGTGATAGGCTTCATGGACAGCTACAAAAAGTATGTACGGATATATGTTGGTTGTGAAGACATTTTTGCATCAACATTCATGATTTATTTAATAAAAACATGCAATGTGAAATTGTTGTAAAAAAAATTTGATTTTGTCAATAATAAAGATAGAGAGAGAATAGACAATACATGAGTAGTTAGGAAGGCACTCTATTTTAAAAATAAAATCATTAAAAATAATGATATATAAAATTTTATTTGATTAAATTAATGTAATTTTATTAAAGAAAGTGTATACATTATGGTGTATTAGATGTATGTAATAGAGGTGTTCAATCTGGACCGTTCCGATTGGTCCAGTATCGTCCCGATCATATCGAGACGAGTCTTGTCCCGACCCGAAAATAATCAGAACGAGACTTTACGGGACGGGATAGGAAAGGAGTTCGGGACGGGACGGGACACGAGATTACTATCAGGACGTCCCGTCCCATCCCGAATATTATATATATTATTTTTTATTTTAAATATATTAATTACATTAATATAATTTATACTTATATTAATTATATCAATTATAATTTTAATACTTGTAATTCTTATTTAAAATTAAAGTTTTTTTATATTGATAATTTTAATAGCATGGAGTAAACATGATGATATATTTCTTTATAATATATTAATTATATTAATATAATTTATTCTTATATCTATCTATTTAATAAATTTTATTTATAACATATTTCTTTCTTATTTTTAGAAGAGTAATTAGCTTAGTACATCTTCACTAAAGTAGAAGAACAATAATTTGATGTTGTGTTTGACTTGCCTATTGTTGCTAATCTTATAGCATAAAGATCACTTGTATTTATTATTATAATATGTAGTTGTGATTAATATAATTCAATAATTAATTTTAAATTATTGTTATTTATGTGCTTGTGTTGTTTTGATTTTCAATTTAATAAATTATATGATTTAAAATTTTAATGAATGTTATTTTTCAAATCTTTTTTCGATATTATTTCATTTATCGAGATAGTGGGATATCCCGATCTTATCTCGATCCCGTCCCGACTCTTAACAGGACAACGGGACAGGACAATTTTCAAGACGAGACAGGACACAAGACCAAAATTCATTTTTGATCTTTTTTTCAGGACGAGATATGAGACGAAGGTGTCCCAGTCCCGTCCCATCCCACCTGTAATATGTAAAAGTTTATCATTGATTTGGTCCTGCGTTTTTTACGAGACTGTAATGAAAATAGTTTGAATAGTATCTGTTGGACCTTAAATTTTTTCTATATGGATTTATTATCCTATGTTCCTAGTTCCTATGTGTCCATAATTTTTTTCCAACATAGGATCTGTTGGACACATAAATCACAATGAATAAGCGCCATCCACGGAACCTCTCCCCTATTTTATGAATTACACAGGGGAGTGATGAACAGTTTTAATCAAGAAAAAGTTAAGAGTTTTTTTTTCCTTTTTACTTTTTGCCACAAAGTAAGGAATTGTTTGAAAACAAATGAATTGCGAAGATATACTCCCTCCCAACAAATTCATTGTTAGGTAAAATTACGTATATTAATAAAATTTATTAAATATACTTTATAATTTTATTTTTTAAATAAATTATAAACTTTTAAAATACCATTCAGTTGATATTTTATTTATAAAATAATATTAAAAAAGATAATATAATGAAAAAGATAATTTTAAAAAAAGTATCATTGATGAACTTTTATTTTTGTTAAATATCTTTTATTTTGAAGTGCTAAATTTTTTCAAAAGTATTTTATAAATTGAGACAAAATGAATAATACAAAATTTGGTGTGGCTTTGGGACCAAAAATGTAGTCCCCCCTTTCAAAAATTGCTTTTTTTAGGGAGGGGTTTGTTAGGGAAGCTTATAGATTGTGGGAGTATTCAAATCAAATGGTGAGAAATAAGAAAATTAAGAAATATTTTATCTTTTAAAAA